TAATAATAATAATCACATTTAAGATGGGACAAACATTACTGCATCTGTGCCTTGATATCATATTTCCATTAAAGCACAGCAAAAAAAAAAACACTTGTATGTAAAGAATGATATATATTTAATCATTAGCGCCCCGTTGTCTGACTCATAAAGCCATCTGCTTTTGTTCATACCTGCAGCTCATTATGCTTATAACAGAGCGGTCACACTTCCTCTCCTCTGATGAAGTGTGATGATGGGGGCTAATGATGTCTGCCTGCTCCACCATCATCATCGTCATCGTCATCATCATCACCTGGCTTCATCAAACAACCTCCCACTGTTCTCACTGGCACAAAGAGAGTAAATCGTTGTTGTGCAAAAAAAGTAAGAATGAGCCACCGAAAAACTTCGGCTGCTTTTATGCAAATAGGCTCGCTCATTTCCAGCTGAGTCAGATGATTTGCCTTTTCTTTTACTTTTTGTGTAGTTTTTGCATGTGTCTTATTTAAAACGGCCCGTGCGTTTGCAAAGCAAGCGAGGAGAAAAAAAAAAGAAGGCATGCTGGGTCGCCTGTGCTGGAGGAACGGGTGCCACATGGCTGCCCCCCCCCCCCCCCACACACACACACACACATCTCATCCTGCTGTTTGTCGAGGAAACCAGTTTGTGTCCTTATCGCCCACTCTCTCAGCCCTCCACCGCTGCTTTGGCCGTTTCATCACAGAAAAAGCCATGCTGAGATAGCCTCGGAGGACCCCAAGTGTGGGCAGAGCCGAAGGATTTATCGCTTTAGTTATTCCAGGATGATTATCATTTTTTTTTTTAAATCAGACAAAAACGACACAACAGAAAGCTGAGTGGGATCAGGCATCTGGGTGCCCGGATCAGCGCATACACACACGGATCCATCTGCGTGTTTTGTGTTAGTTGATTAATTTATTATTTCTGTGCAGGGTAATGCCATCAGATTAAATGTTTCATTTGGGGAAAAAGATGAAAATCTATGTGTGGCACGCAGATGTGGGCCGACTATGAACAACATGTAGGGGGGGATTATTATTCACAACTGGCTGAAAGAAGGTTTCAGTTCATTTGCAGTGATCTTAACACCAAATCACATTAAATGCACATATTTTTTTGTCTTATTTATTTTATTTCTTAAGGGGTTAGTTTCACAGCTCAGTGATATTGAAGGATGTGGAGTGAGTCATCCTCATATACGGCGATTTATATTTCTACATTCATATTCAGTAACATGGACAGGGAGATGCTCCTCCAATCAATACTTTTCTTGACGCTTTATGTTTTCTGTGACGAAGCGATTGGCTCAGGCAATAAAGATGAACCATACTTCTCAATCTTGTTTTTTTTTTTTTCAACGCACCGTTTTATAACTGGGAGGGAGAGTAAATGGAATGCACACTGTGGATTTTGAAACCCCAACAGATTTCAGCTCTCAGATAACCTTCACCGCCACCTTAATCAGCTCGAAATGGCCGATTCACATTCAGCTTTAGAGAWAAGGATGGCTGATGTAAATATCGGCGCTTTATGAACGCTCGGATTCACACCAACCACGGGCCACGGGGGTGCTTTAAACATACATTTAGCCTTCTAACAAGAAAACAAATGTCCCTAAAGCAGGAGAGACATCATGAAGGATCTTAGCTTGCTAATATATTATTTTGTTTCCAATTTTAGTATCGTCTTAACAAGGCCAATCTGAATCACAGGAAGACAACTGCGTTTGAAATAAATGCTAAGATCTTTAAAAGCTGCTGTATTGCTGCAGTAACAGTTTCAGGAAGACTTAATCCACAGTGGTGATGTGCTGTGCAGGCACAAGTGTGCAAAAGACAACCATTTCATGCAAGCCAATAACACAAATTGGCACCAAAAGTGGCAACAAAGATGCTAAATGTATGTGTTGTGAACGACTCTCCTGTACAGATTTTAGTTCAGTGTTTGTCAAACTTGTTGCCTTTTCACAAGTTGGTCAGGCCGCCTCGAGCCTGACCGAGGTGGGTTCATTTTACTCACCTTTCCGCCTTCGTGTTTTTTCTGAGGATAGAACACTTGTCCGTCCCATACTGAGCTGCCTTATGAACGAGGCTTGAGTTACAAATATTTCAACCCATTCTCACTCCCAAGTCGTSACATACTGACGCTTTTCCAAGGTTCCCTCTGTGTCCGTTTTTGACGTGTCGGGTACCCCCCCCTCACGTCAGTTATTGACGAGATGGGGCGAATCTGTTGTCATAATTTCAGAAAGTGTAGAAAATGCACAAATCTAACCATCCCAGAGCCTAAAATTACCTTTATTCTCTCTAGACACCCTGTCCCTGACCCTAGTACCTAAAATTAACCATCAACCCTGATCCCTACATTTAACCATTTTCTAGAAAGTGTACGAAATTCACGTCAACTACGTGCTCCAAAGCCTAAACTTACCTAATATTCACCGTAGACATCCTATCCCTGACTCCAGTACCTAAAATTAACCATTAATCCTGATCCCTCATGTTAACCTCTGACTCCCGAGCCAAAGACCCCTGGTGGCGCAACCTGGAAAAGCCGCGGGCGGCAAGGACTGACGCGAGGAGGGTACCCGACGCGTCAAAATAAGATGCAGAGATAACCTTGGAAAAGCATCAATATGTTGACGAGTCGGGAGTGAGAATGTGTTACCCTGACCCCACAACCTGAAGGCCCTGTCGCACTAAACAACTTATGCCAACTTATGAACATTTTAAAGACATCTACTTTGAAGATGGAATTGAAAAAAATCAACAGGGAGCTTCTTTTCTGCGTGTACATAATGTAATTCGAACAAATAGATCAAATATATTATAGAAATATATATTTTATTTAGCAATTTAGACAAAAATATTTCATAAGTTGTCATAAGTTGTCTAGTGTGGCAGGGCCTTAAAATTAACCATGAACTCCGATCCTTAATATTAACCACGGACCCTAACTCAAAGACCCCTATATTTTGCGTCCCGACGCGTCAAAACTGGACGCCGAGGGAACCTGGAAATGCCTGGCGCGTCAATAACTGACACGAAGGGGTTAGTCGCCATGTCAAAATAAGACACAGAGGTAACCTTGGAAAAGCGTCAGTATGCAACGAGTTGGGAGTGAGAATGTGTTCGATATTTTTGTGTTGGATGATGTCCAAGAGCGGTGGTGGTCACTTTAAATTCAGCTGATCCCCTATGCTAATGAGTTGCAGATGTAGTAGAAGTGATCTAGTTTCTGAATTTCGCAAAAATATTTGCAATGGTTCATGAGATATTTTGCTAAA